CAGTATTCAGCGTATCTGTTGTACTATAATTGTAAACTATTATAATCGTCATTATTATTATAACCTAAAGAAACAGGAAATCTACAAATAATAGCAAACAAATAGAAAGTCAGATTTATAAAATGAAATGGTCTTGCTTCGCCGGCTTACGCGAATATTGAGGTTGTAATGTGCTGAAAGATGGAACTGAGATTCCAGGAGAGTATACATTAAGCTTTTATTATTTTTGTCTGGAAATTCGTGAAATACGTTGAGCCTTTTCCTTGGTTCTCTTTTCTGAACCTCAGTTTGTCATTGAATACGCGGTCTCTAGCTGATCCTCTACGTAGATTCGGTAGGATGCTGACATGCTTCAACTGGTCATCCTTTAGTCATTCAGAGGATGTGAGATGAACAACACGTCCTCCATTTAATTCCATCTTTTCGAAATTCATGCGGACAAGTGGTTTCCTCTTTCCAGCAAGCAGTAGTCTGTAGCCACAACATGTTCGTAAAACGTGCAAAGTCCCCGTTTCGTTCACCCAATTCCGCTCCATTTCATGATTTATGCGGGAATTTGCCCTGCCGGCTCACCTGAATCTTGAGGTTGAATGCACTAGCTGTTACACGTGAGGTAGGCCATACGGACGGCAGAGACGTGCCAAAAAAGGGATCTAAGTTTAAACAGAATCCAAAATGAAATAATTGGCCAACGCACGGGCTGCTCGTGCGAAGATGCGTTTTTTGCATAGTTCTCCGCAATTTTTGTCGCTGGCGGCACTAGTTTTTTCGGCAAATGCTTCTAGCTAAACAAATTAAGACTGGCCGCTAGAACTGTCAGGAAACACCACCTTAAAATTTCAGCTTTCTGGCTTTTCTAGCTCCTGAGTTAGCAACTTACTTGAAAAAACTTTCACGGGCCCGCACGTGGGTGCCATGCGTACCCGATGTCTGGGTTTGAGCCCTTTGAGACTTACGTGGACGGGGAGCATCGTCTTCAAACTACAGTTTTCTCGCTTTCCAGGTTCTCGAGTTAGCAGCTTACCCGAAACTTTGATGAGCCCGCGCGTAGATACCACGCGTGCCCAGATTCTGGGTTGGGCTCAATGAGGCTTAGGTAAACGGGAATATCATCTTAAAATTACAGTTAGATTTTCAAATTCCCGATGGACTTACCCGAAAAAAATTTTGGCGAGCCTGTACGCGGGTACCACGCTTACCCGGATGCTGCGTTTAAGCCAATTAATACCTACTTGCATGGGGAACATCCCCGTAAGATTTCAGCTTTCTAGCTTCTCAGATCCCCCAGTTATCAACTTACCCGTAAACAACTTTGGCGGGCCCGTACGCGGGTACCACACGGGCAATGGCGCCCATTTTGGGGGTTGGGGCCAGTACGTGCATGTAGATTAAGTTCTCAAAGTTTCAGCCCTGTAGCTTTTGTAAGTCTTGAGATGAAAAACCGTGACAGACGCACATACGGACACACAGACAACCCCTCGTCAATATGCGTTTTCTTCACTGCATAGCTGCAAAAAAACGCATAAAAATCCATACTTTTTACTAGGAGACAAGTATGCGAGAGTGTCGTGCATGATACGGCTGATACTTCCTTCTCCCAGTGTCGGCTTGAAACGTAAGCTTGACTTGGTCCCATCTTTTGCCAAAGTAAGACAAAATGCCCCCTCTTTATTCTTCCTCTCCTTCATGTTGATGTTAGTAAGAGAGACAGGATGGGAGGGGGGCGGGAAGGAATTATTTAAGTCTAAGGGGGGAGAGGGGGGGGGGGGGGG